TGCTGTATTTGTTATTCACAGCTTTTCACACGTGTTTTGATTACTTTCCAACGTTTTATAAGATTTTTATTACGTAATTCATTCATAAATTCATGACGTTTTGTTCAAGTTGTGGCGTTAAAGCTGTTGAAGGTGCACTGTTCTGCCATCAATGCGGTTTTTCTGTTCAACAAGCTGGTGGTTCAGACGTATCACGGCTAGAAAATGCTTTCACAGTTGATTGCCCCTGCTTCTATGTCAACCTCAGTGCATCCTGAACAGGACATGTGTTATCAAATTACGAACAAAAGCTGACAAAAGTGGAAAACAGAATTATAATTTATGACCAAAATTAATTGTTCGAACTTCAAAATTGAAAACAGCAACATATGCGCCCGCAGTACAACCGCTGGTTATGTGAGGCCATGCGCGCACACAATTTTACTTTCTTTTATGTGTGTTAATATTTTTTTGTTTGTGCATTGCATAATAATTATTTATTTCATACATAGTTGTATTATTTGTTTTTCTTTATTAATTTTATATGTTTAATTTTTATTATTGCGTTTCTTTTTTATTTGCATTGTGTTTATTTTTTATTTACAGCTTATACATTTTTATTAGTGTGTTCAATTCTTTTTTTGTGTGTATATTTTTATATTTGTGTGTGACCCTTGTGAGCCACCGTACAGAACAGAGTGGAAATCATCTTTAAAGAGGCTGTCAAGTCCATTCTGCTCATGCACAGATCGAAATGTTAATTATCTATTGTTGTGAAACAAAAATGTAAACAAAACACGCGCATGAGCAGAACGGACTTGACAGTCTCTTTAAAACATTACTGAACACTTTAAAAACTTACCATTAAGTCAGCAAGTCAGGCTGTTCTTTCATTCAAGCGTTGACTCTTTTATATCCATGGTCGAATTTCCAGTAGAAGTTTTTATAAACCATTACAGCGATGTAGCGAAATTTCGGGCCTTCTTTCACAACAAACATAAAACATTACAAATATAAGTCAATATACTGCACGTATTTTTCTCTTTACTACAGAATCGTTTTCCCTGTCCATTGAGTTATAATTTCCAAAACTAATCAGTCGTTTTAACGTAAAAGAAGTGGGTATTTGTGAACAAAAATGCCCTTTGATCACACAAAGTAACCGGCGCGGCGCCATCTTGTATTCTCCAAACATTACAAATCTTCCCGCCAAAAATTCTGTTGGTGAAGGTCAAAAACTCTGTGGTGAAGGTCATTGAAAATCTCTTTACAGGATCGGCCAGCAGATCAGCGTTTTCCTTCAGAACCCAGCTGGGTATCCCATCCGGACCATTGGCCTTGGCTGGATTCACTTTTGACAATTTCACAAACTCCTGCTCTGTAACCGTAAAAGCAGGTTCATCGCTGCCGAAATAAGTACAAGCGAAAAAGTCAATCGCTAAAAGGAGAGACTAGTCATTCATGGGAAAAGATTCCATTGATAATATCAGCAAGATGTTTGGTAGAGACACTAGCTGTCTCATTTAGATTTTCTAACGATTATACACCTCATTTTTGGAGTTGAAACTACTTGAAAGCTGAGTTCATGCCACTCAATTTCTTGACTTCACTCCACCAGTCGGATGATTTGCAACTTTTTAGATGTTTGACCTTCGCTTCGTAATATTTAGAGCGACAAACTTCTATTCTTACTGAATAGAACTGAATTCTATTTTACATGCAGCAAAAAACAGTTATACAGCATTCTTCGTATTGTACTCGCGTTGACAAAACCATTTTATTGTACTCGTGTTATTGACAAAACCATTTATGGACAACAGCGGAACTAACCGTAGATAACAGACTTTCGCTCTCTAATTACATTAATACGTCATCAAATTTGCGACCGTTCCCGACATCCACGTATTTTAGTCCTGCCGGCAATGCTTCTACCAGGCCTCGAATTTCCCTGAAATCAATCGACGGCAATGGCGTTAAAAATTGCCGTAGAACGTAACAGCTGTCTACGGCAATTTTGGCAGTTTCCACGGCATTTTTCTAGAAACATGTCTACGTATTTCTTTAGTGTTTTTTTTTTCCCGAAGAAAACTGAGACTAAAATAGTGATTTACGCATGATTTGATCAACATCTGAATTCAAGTATCAAAGTAGTAATGCACAGTGAATAGTATAAAAATTGTACTATACGGCAAAAAATTGCCGTCGTTGCCGCAATGATCCACGGCATTTTGTTCTCCCTCTACGGCAATTGCCGCGATAAAATTCGAGCCCTGGCTTTACTGATTAAAAATCAGTAGATGCAAAAACGATATCAGTGACGATATCGTTTTCATGTCACCCTGTTATCGCCCTTTCATGATAAAGGCACATATGTTTATGGTAAACTACTGTAAAAATAAACACTGAATATTGTAATAACACATTAAACATTCATTTATTACCGGTTGTTTTACAAGTTTTCTAATTCTAAATAAGAAACTATAACGAACAGTTATGTTGCTATTAAATGGCGAAATATGTATATACGAACGGTTAAATTAGAGTTAAACTGCACTCCATGTGTCCATTTTGCGTACAATGCAATTTCTATATACCATTTCTATGGATATATAATCTACAATGGTTTTCGACGAGAAAACCCTTTTACTTCTTCCTAAGCTACATTACTTTTGCATTTATGGGTTTACTCCTTTATACTCAGTAGCAGTGCTGACCGCCGTAAGACTTAACCTATTAAACATACTAGTAATAACACTTCTATTTAATGATCTAGAAATGTTTACAATAGCATGTTAGTTAGAAGGTATGTGAGTATATTCATACGAATGAAGTACTATAATTTTGCAGGTCGGATGTGTGGTTTGAATATTCTTCAAATGATCTCAACACACTTGTGACTGCATCATAACACAGCTTAAATTGAGCCTGAGAAGTAAAAAACACAATTGACAAGTAAAATTGTCTGGCATTAGACAGCTAGCTAGAGTAAACTAATAAAGTATACGGCACACAATGTAACTTAAATTAATTGGTTAAAAGGGGGACCCACTATAAGTTAATTGGATTAAAGGCTGGTTTCCTGTTAATCGTTTTTCACACGTGCGTGTAGGCATGGAAAAGTTCTAAATTTTATATTAGTACTAATTACCTCGACAAATGCATATTAAATCATACAGGAAACTAAATTCTATCCTTTTATTCAATTAGTTATCTGACAAGTAAAATTTTTAACTAAAGGATTAAAAGGATTTAAACTTTTCCGTGCATGCGTACACGCGCACGTATGAAAAACAGCCGCAAAGATGGCCCACTGAAAATAGAATTGTACAACATTAACAGTTTCTTTTAAAGGTCTAAAGTCTGTAAATATCTTCTCATCATAACTTACCGCTGTTTCAACAAACTGTGGACGTTTGATGCGGATCAATTTAACATACTGAAAGACGTCAATGACTTGAACAACTTTCACTCTGTCCACAAGATTAGAAATTGCGATGTAGGTTCCACTTCTTCCCGCACCATCACTAGAAGAAAAATATAGGTCAGCAGAATTGTTTAGCTAGGCGTAATTGTGTGATGTATTCATATTTGATTAAGACATATACTCGTAGTTTCAAGTTCCTGAATGAATGCCTTTCAGAAACGTGTACTTCATGAACATCATTCTTAAGTCTCTTAAGTTTGTGCCAGCGCAAGTACGCGGCAACAATCATTGAAATACCAGTCAGGTACGATTAAAAATCTCGAATTATCTGCACTCAAACTTCTGCGCAGCTGATTCAATCACAACCACAATTAACTGATATTTATTTAACAAGTTGATTGGTATAGATTGAATGATTAAATATTTGGTGATGTTTCCTAATTAACTGATTCATTGATTCTTTGTATAAGTTGATTGATTGACCATTAGTTAAGTTAATCCATTGTTAGTGGTTAATCATTACCTGCAAATGACAGTGACAGGTCCTTTTCCCTCTGCCGCTCTCTGAGATTCTTCAACTTCAGACAAAATTTTCGCAATATCATCAACATCTTTTGGCACTCCATGGTCTGGCCAGGACATGTACTGAATCAATCGCACCATACGATCTTCTTTCAAATCCTGAAAGAATAGATTGCTGGTTTATTATTTCTGCTGGTTTATTATTATTGCTGGTTTAGTATGTTTGAAATAAGTTACTGGCTGAGACTTGAGATCCTCTATTCTCAAGTGTATACTTACAACTGACGGAGAAACGACGAATTTTCTGATGACAATATTTTCTTTCTTCACAAATGAGTCTAACATTACTGTACTGGGTCCAAACGACTGAGGTTTGGCTCTCTGGGTTGGCCAGAACATCGGGTATTCCTAAAACGAAGGCAGAAATGTTGGTTATGTACATCTTGATGAGGTAGAGGACACAACAGTGAAGAAAACAGGCCCAATCTAATTCCTGCAGCTACCCGGGGTCCTCAAGGGTTAGACCTAACAGTTCGATTCCAAAGACCTCCTGTACCACAAGTTATGAAAACCTTAACAGTCAGTACAGAGCCAGAATATCTTTGTATTCCAAGCCTGCAAAGTCAGGCAGTGCGGGTTCACCAACCTCGTCACCTTCTCGTAGTTGATTTAACATGACTATTGTCGAGGACTTATGTTGCAGTACCATCCTCCAGAAATCATTAATTGTCTCCTCAAGAGGTGTTTGTGTTGCAATAAAGTAATTCTTGACAAGATATCCCTAAAGAGGTTGAAAGGCAAAAAGAATAAGAAATATGTCTTCTTGTTGACTATAAAGTTAAAAAATTGGCCACAAAGGCAGCAGTCGGCATTGACAAAAATGTTTCCAACCTATACGTTGATAAACACATAACCACGTATTCTAATTCAGGAAGACATTGTCATTAACACACTTACATCAACGTAACAAGCATTTATGTAATCCGAGTTCTGAACATTGTCAATATGTTTGAGATATGGACGACCAGATTCAGCTGGAAAAATATGGTGAACGGTATATGAATTAAGAGATGTACTGGAACAGGTAATCGTATTCCTTGTTATGTATTCAAACTGTAAATTTAAATTCCTGATTGTAGGGTTGAAAAATTTGTTCTAAATATGGAACTTGGAAACTCATTTCTTACATACTTGGATAAATTTCAGACGTTCTGTTTTTCTTTCTGTTTTGGTCCAGAAGTGCAGCTTCACATTTCTCTTTCACCAACTGTGGTGTGACTGTGTTCAAACGCTGTATAAGACAGTAGAAAACACTGTTAATTTGTTCCCTGTTTGTCCTCCTTTGGAAACATTGAATCATTTGAAAAGTACTGTCATGTTAACTTGGACAATGTTTTCCTGTTTGGCTACTTTTGGAAATATTGCTGCATAAAATAAAACTTGCTTTCTGGCAGCAAAAGGTTTTCCCACAATTTCAGAAACATGATGTGTTTACTAAGTGTTATAATATTTTGCTGGTTGAAGCAATGTTGTCTGGTTTGTTAAGACCTGTAGAATGAGTCTTACAATGATAGTGCAGTACAAAAAGACGGCAACATCCTGTACTTAACGCGGTCTTCATACCTTAAACTCCTCGTCAAATCCTGTTTCGCCTTTGTCGTTTTTCTTCAACAAATTTGTAATCTCAGTCGTAATCTGAGTTGCTTCAACTTCATTTGCTCCACACTTGAGGTGATCAACGATCGCATCATGAATGAACACATATTGTTCCTATAAAGTGTATAGAAGGGATGGGTAATGTAATGACCCTTTCAGTGCACAGGATTCATCTGCTGCCAAGTGAATTTGTACTTAGTATAGGGCCCTGGCACATACTACAGACTGGCTATTTGTTATTGGAATGTCATAGACTTGCGAGAGTTCTGAAGAAAACTTTGATTCCAAACAATCTGATAAATGCTTACCGCAGTTTGCACCATGTTGGCACGTCTTGTTCTCATGTCCTTCACAAAACCAAAGATATCTATGGTATCTTTCTTTTCTTTGTCAAGATCATCCAAAATTTTGTCCACAGCAATGAACACTCCTGAACGACCTACCCCAGCACTGCGAGGAAAATGAAATTTTTTATAACGATATTCTTTGGTGAATGTTTACTATCCTATTTTCTTGCTTTTCTTTCTATTCATCTATCTTTCGATTCTATTGTCCTTCTTCCTTTTTACCTTCCGTCCTTCCCTTTTCCTTACTTTTTTGGTTCTCTCTTCTTGCTACATTAATTCCTTTCCCGTTCCTCCACCCCAGCTGTCTCCCCTAATGTATCCAATGGATTGTCACCATCGCTTACCTGCTATGAATCACAGCTGGTCCGGTTTTAGTCTCGTGAAAAGACTTAAAATGTCTTCTGAACGTCAAGATCTGTGTTGGATAGAGAGGAACGCCGTAGTCTGGCCATGACATAAAATGGAATTGTTGCACTCCACGCTGTTCACCACCCTAGATAAAAATGTTTCCTTTGAAAACTTTATTTGGCAAACATAGATTGTGCTTACAGTATGTTCATTACATTCTATAAGCAGCATAAATTGAGAACAAGTTCATTTTAAAGCTAACATTACCTTCTCGACGATAAAAGTCCGGGTAACATAATCAGCAAACGTTTTTGTCTGTTCAGCAGTCACTTTAATATCTCCATACATATCAGATTCTTCAGGCCAATATTTCTCGCACATTGTCTTCAAGAAGAAAGAGACGTTAAAAAAAGATCCTCTTCTTAATTATTTACTATTTTGAATATACAGGGCATTTTCATGATGGATATATTGAATTAAAGATACAAGGACATTTAAGAAAGAAACTGAGGAGTAACAGGCTTATTTGGTTTGGCCATGTCTTCCAAGAAAGGAGTGGGTTCCTGAAGGTGGAAGGAGAAGACAGATGCAGTTGTTCATCAGAAAATGCAAGTGTGAAAAACGTGGAGACTACCAAGACTGAAGCGTGTGGGGGTGTACGAGTTGACCTCTTTACGTCCTTGTTGCTTGTTTGAGATTTAACTGAAGCAAAAAGTCTTTTATACACAACCTTTCCCATTTCCTTCAATGTCGTCAACATGACAATAGTTGGGCATTTATGTTCAAAGATCATCCTCCAGAAGTCGTTCACTGTTTTGGGTTTTGGTCCTAAGAAAACAAAAAACATGTTGAACCTCACGAGATTGCATTGGAAAGAGCAATGTAGGAAGAATTTAGAATAATTTTCAATTGTACTTCTTTTCGTATAAAAATATTTATCAATTGTTGCACGAGTACCAAGACGCAGTATACTACAGCTACAGTGACACGGAGTTTACAATGTCATCAGCTCGAGTCAAATGCGTCTTTTACACAGTACCTTGTGTCGCGATGTAATACTTCTTAGCCAATCCCTGCAAAAACAGTTATTAAAAAGTCATAAAAAACTATCAATGGTCAAACAAAATTTTTGAAAAACCTTCATGTGAACAATACATTACTCTTCTCCATGTTTGCACCTACATTGATGAACGAGGCATTAATATAGTCAGTTTTCTCGTCTCCAGACAGTATGACACGTGAGTGATTATCTGAAATGACCAAGAAACATATTTGGCAAACGAACTTCATTTATTGAACATCGAAATATCAAATCTAACTTACATGTTACTGCGTTTCCATATTTGTTTTTGGGAATGTTGAATGATTGTTTTGCGATATCGCAGTTGGAAATATGACCGGTCGGTAAGTCCTGAAATTTGAAATGCAATTATCACAGATTATTAAAGGTGCTGGGGTTTTTGTTTGAATTACTTCAAGAAATCAACTTCGACGTAATGAGCAAAGGACCCTACCATCTGCATGTTAGTAGTACCTACTACACTATGTAGTACACGGCAAAAAACGCTCAGGTTGATGCAATACTGATGAAAACAGGATTGAACAATGTTTTGCTGCCCACATTGTTCACAGTTGTCAACAATATTGAACAATATTGTTACACACGATTCAGGCTCAACAACATTGTTCAATATTGTTGACAAGTGTGAACAACGTGGGCAGCAAAACATTGTTCAGTCCTGTTGAGCAACGGGCTCGGTGTTTTTTGCCGTGTAGGTACTACAATGAACTCTATGTAGTTAGCAGTACTCCATGGTCTTGATGACAATGCAATATCGTGGTTCAGTTCATATCTTACAGATAGGCAATTTCAAGTATCTGTGGACAATAACCTGTCTTCCAAAGCTAACATAGTATACTTCTGGTATTCCACAAGGATCGATATTGGGACCTTTGTTGTTCATTCTCTACATGAATGATTTACCTCTACATTTGAACGACGCCGGAATTGATCTGTATGCTGATGACGCGACACAATATGTGGATATAACTTACAGGATGTGGAACATAAACTGAATAGTGATTTGCAACCAGTGGTGAAGTGGTCAGAAAAAAACAGGATGGTAGTAAACACGGAGAAGACGAAAAACATGGTTATTGGAAGTAAGTTTAAAGTTCAAGGAAACCTTAACCTTGATCTATATGGCTCACAGGTTAAGACCACAGATAACGATAAGCTGCAGCTAGGTGTTCATTTTGACCAAAATTTGAACTGGAGTAACCACATTGACATGCTATGCAAAAGAGTCTCACAGCGACTGTGGATAAGACATTTTCTACCATTTCGGGCAAGGATGGCTTTCTACAATTGTGTAATTCTATCAATAACAGACTATTGCTGTGTTTTCTGGGGAAACACCTGTCAGAAGAACTTAGACAAAATTTTAAAATTGCAGAAAAGAGCAGCACGGAAAGAGCAGCACATGTCCTTGATACTGACAGAAAAGCACATTCATTACCGTTGTTTCTACAGCTTGGTTGGTTACCCATAGGTGAACGCATCAAATATTTCCGTTGTCTACTGGTTTTTAAATCATTAAAGAACTTATGTCCTGGTTATATGAAGAACTTATTAACCCCTTTCAAAAATGTTAGGTCTGGGCGAAAATTACTTTGTGTAAATCCAGTCACCCAATTAAATTATGAAAAATTGAAAATAAAGTGCATTATTATTAATATTATTATTACTAACTTGCTAATGAAGACATGCATTTTGCTGCAAACGTTGAATTAAAAAACAGTCATTAGAAACGCACCTCAAAGTCCATCTTGAATTCTTTGTTATCGTTCTTTCTCAGATGGTTCACGTGATCGTTGAATTCTTCTACTGGAATAGGGTTGTGTACTCGCGCAGCTATACCTGAAATTTTTTTAAGGTTAACGGCATTAGACGAAGTATTATATAGACAGTCTATTAAAAGTATCAGCTGTGATAAATTTGTTCCCAAAGACTCACCTTCTTTGTTGGCATAAAAATCATCGGGATCTGTGTTGTTGACTTCTACCTCGACTCTATCATCAACTGTATCATCACCATCGTCAGAATTCTGCTCCACTTCAATAGAATCATTGTAATCACAAAATGCATCATTCATCACCGCGGGACAACTTCGTTTATCAACTTCTTCCTCCAGTTGATAATCTGGTTCAGAATGTTGCTTATCCTTTCGTCTGAAATATAGGATGACAAAATTTGTATGGCCTTAAGAAGAAGATTATAGCAACAAATGGGTGACAGTTGGTACACACGGTGGATATATTTTATTCTGATTTTCAACGTGATTACCTTCTGAACATAATTATTGCTAGTGTTACAAGAATAAGAACACAGACACCAACTATTGCACCAACAATAACGCCGACATTACTGCCTTCTATAAGGGAATAAAGATAGCCACAGTGAATCCCATTCTGAATACACAAAACCATATCCTCGGTTTTACTACATATAAAACTGTTATAAAACCTCTCTTTGAGGTATTACTATTATGTGATCTATGTGTTTATGTTGGAATCTAGTGATCTCTAGTCAGTTAAACTGATGCGTGGTAAAGTGAGATATTATCACTATAAGTTTTTACAATTCCTACGCGTTCCTGAACCTGATAGCCTTTCTTTTCCGACTGTTTTTGAAACAGGGCTCCAATCTGTGGAGTAATAATCACCCTAGAATGACATAATAACGAACAGAGTAATGTTATGGATAGCATTCAAGTTCTCAGTGTGGTGAATGTGTATACTAAAGTGCTGTTTCATCGTTCGTCAGTTACCACTTGTGGTGATACTTTAAGTTATTCTTGGGTTTCATATGACGTCACAAAAGTGACGGGGGGTCAACTCTAAAACAAAACACAGTTATCAGAGTGAGTCCATTGCTCGTTTTATGTTAATATTAGCCTTGTGTTTGGTGACAAATACATGGAATTTCGTATCATTTTCTCACTCCAGTACAGCATAAGCACCAATACATTTGAGGTTGACCCCCCGTCAGATTCACTGCAATAATGCCGTAGTGAAACCCAAGAATTTTGTCAGTCAATAATGTTTGTACTTTGTAGTCAGTAACATCGTTCAGAACTTTTTACCTTGTTATTAATAAAAATCCTTTGAAAAATACTGTAACTAGTGCCAGGTTCCAACGGACCATTATAATAATCACTCGAGGTTGGTCTTCGTGATGTTGGATTACTTGTATTTCTGCCATCACCAAGTACAAACATGTTTTCATCCTTTGATGTTACTACTGCAGCGATAAAAGGTTTCGGGACGGTTGATGTTCTTGCCTCAGTGTGCGTTACTAACTCGTTGTTTTCATAACTGTCTGGAGATCGACCTTGCTTCCCGTCTATTAATTTCAAAGGGACGACGTAAAAATGCCTAAAAAATATTCATATATGATAGATAATTATCAAATACACTACACTACATGCACTCTTATGTAAAATTGGATTCCACCGTAGGTAGTCGTTACTGCAAGAAGGTTTCAGTGAGACTTTTGTGTCTTTTTGGAGCTCATATTGTGTCGAACCTTAGACACTACTTACGAAAGTGAGACCTTTTCCAGTGAGGTTTTTTTGTATGTCCAATTGTGAAATATAGTTTTGAGTAATGGAAATCTTGCAAAATACGGAACCTTATATGCAATACACAACCACCAATAAAATGTATCTAATCTTCAGATTCATTATTGTCAATAAAGTAACGTCAAAACGGAACTTACGTAAAATTGTGTGTGGGAATCTGCAATGGGAAAGTTAGTGTACTTTCTGTTCTATTTGTGGCCATTTTTGGTTGTTCTAAAAAGAAAAATATCAATTCGTTAAATATGTAGCATTAATAAATCTAGACTAGAGGCAGAGAGCTAGAGTAGGGCTAATTAATTAATTATCTAAGCTGAAATTAACAAATATCAGATTTTGGAGCATTGCGTTGATTGCAATTTATTGTAAGTTTTAGTAATACAGATAACATGAATGGGTTGAGTAAAGATACCAAAAGAATGAAGGTTGTAAAGCTTCGGTCAATAGCGAGCAGAACTTACTTCCATTTGTAAATTTTCCTTTACTTTCACTGTAGTTTCCAGAACCGACTTTAGTACTTGCAAGAACACGAACATAATATTTTGTTGAAGCATTCAAACTTGCGATAACTAACATCTTTTCCTTTGTAGTTTGCTCTTTAAAACAAGGTTTACTTTCTTCATGTGAGATACACACAGTATAACTGACGATAATGCCATTTCTTTTGTCTTTTTCAGGAGGTTTCCACGTGACAGATAATGATGATGGGCTTTCTGCAATCACTGTGACATTCAATGGAGGACCTTCTGGAGCTAAAAGTCAGATGAGATGAGATGGGTACGACAATATGGTCTCATTTGACAGTGTGCATGTATGAGGGCAGGTAACTACGCACGACTATTCTGCTGAACGTCAAACGAATTGTGGCCACATAACATCAATTGTTGTTCCAATCTAACGTAACCAGTATTTCCAATCTAACGTAACTCCCTAAAAGAACCGGCCATATTTAAAGCATTGACAGAATCTCATTCTTATACCTTCCTCCAATGTTAAGAACGAAGTAACAGTCTCTTCACCAAAACCATGTTTATGTCGAACAGCGACTGATATTTTGTATGTAGTGTATGGTGTCAGATTATCTAAATCGCATTCATTGTTTTTATCTTTGGTAATATTCTGGATGAGGGAGTTCTCTTTTTTCAGTTGAATCCAAAATCCTGTAAGATTTCCATCTCCTGTGTTCTCTGGATCTAGCCAAGATATTTCAGCACTTCTTGCCTTGATATTAGTCACCGTAAGGTCTGTAGGTTTATCTGGGAACAGAGCTAGAAAGAAACGAATTATAGTAAAATAACATTTTCATCTGTGTGTGCCAAGATACACATGCTATGGGCACACCTAAAAAAGACTGAGGGTATCGGAGATTGAGTAAAACATCAGTAAATGATTTGTGTGTCAATGTTAAATGACAATCAATTACATCATAATAAAAATAATTTCATCTGTTGATTTATATCCTCTTTAACGGCAAAAGAAAAATAACTTACTAGTGCCACAGATTTCAATTCTTATACACGGTTGACCAACATATGAAAATGGAATAAATCGTACAACTCTTACTCTTGTTCCTCTAGGGAAATCTTGTATGGCTGCATGATTGTAAGCATTTTTGTTTCCTTGAAATGTCTAAAGACCAAATATAATTCTTTTCTTTAAGTTAAACCGTTCTGTCATACAACAAACTATAAGTTATAAAATGAGTAACCTGCAAAATAATATATAGCCTACTGAAGCAATTACCATTTGGTTCCATACTGATCTCCCATTTGTCAAATCAACAGTGTAATTCAAATTATATGTGACCACCCACTTGGAACTGGTACTATCTCCAAATGTTACGAAATTATATATCACATAAAGTCTTCCTAAGTCCACTTGAAGATAATGTTTGCCATCCGAGACAGGAGCACACCAAGAACTGCCACTAGATATTCTTGCATCAGAGGGACTGCGACTTTCTGAAGAAGCTGAGGCAGTGAATGACGAATCTAGGATTCTTTGTTTATTTTCTAACAGAGGTCTGTCACAAATATGACCTAAAATATGAAAGTTAAATCTTACGAACGTTTTTTTATCTCTTTCATTCTTTCTGCTCTTCGACACTTAGTCACATGATCGTGATCCTTTTTCGTGAAAACTTACATTTTAAGTACGAGAACTTCGAACAACTTTGGGAAGAAGTGGTAACCAAACATTGAGATAATTTTTTATCACCATCATTACACACTATACTTCCGGAAAATATTTCATCTTTTAAATCCGATGGAGCAGCTTTTTGAAGCAGTGAGTGTGCTTCTTTGTAACCCAATTGACGACAAACAACATCCTTTGCGTTTCCTAAACTTCGCCAACAAACATTCTTGATCCCACTGTCAGTTGTAATTTTTACAAAACCTTCATTTGGTAGAGATGAATATGATAAAGACACACCATCAACTACAAAAACAAAGAGGTTGAGGTTAGTTATACTGAACAAAGTGGCTATTCGTACTGGAACAGTACGCCGAGTTTGATTTGCTATTCGTACTGCAGTCGTAATATTTAAGATAAACCTGACCCCAACCCCAAACCCTTCTCTAACCCTAAGTCCTAACCAATAAAGGTCTAATAAACTATTTCAGAGTTAAAGAAGTCGGGAAAATTTTTTTAAATACTTTAAGAAACATTTCTAAGTCAAACAGAAAACCGACGGCTAAAACTAAACCCGGACTTCGTTTCACTTCGCACGCACGCACACCTTTGCCAGATATGCTAGCGGCAAGCTCGCTAAAAGTTGTTGCAAAAAACGTTTTTATATTACTAATTTACGAAATGTAAGAATCGTGTGCCATATTCCAGTACGAATAGCCACTTCGTATATCGAATATATTCATGTAAAACTACAACAAAACAACACACAATTTTTATCCAAGGTCCTATTTCTTAAACTGTGGAATTTGCTTCCAGAAAACTTGCTTCATGGGTTAAAAAATATTTACTGAATGAATGAATAGTCAATGTTGTTGTTGCTTGTTGCGTTTTTCCATTAAACAAGCTTGGTGGTTCCTAGATGTCTCCTTGCCATTAATAATATTATTTGTGTATATGTATGTTTTCCACATTTCCACAATACTAACTATTTTTTGTATGTTCTGAAATATTATATATGGCTAGTGGCTAAACAATGATTAACTTAAATTAAAAATTAAATTAAAGCAGAAAGGTTCAGATTTGACTTCCACTATACCGTTACCATTATCCAATCAGGGGCCGGTTGTATAAAACTCTTAATCACTTTTTTAATCACTATTTTGT